TAGTGAGTAACGCATTATACACAGCACGTACTACGCATATCTATTTAATGATTAACGCTTTGACATGGGAATTCCCCTATTATCCTCCAAGAAATAGGATATATTATTACAAATACTTTCTAGGAATAAGGCAACGAATACGAAGAATAAAAACAAGATTAAAAATTCTAATCAGCCAATTGAAATATGGTAACGAGTACAATTAATGAACTGGAATTGTGTTAGAATGAATTGCAAATGAAGATGATAGAAAAAAGAAGACGAGTCATCAAAGAAAAACGGAAGTCGAGCCGATGACAGGCCGGATACCGGAAGATAAATTCAGTCAAAGGAATAAGAATTGTTATCATCAGAGGAATGTGTCAACGCAGATTGACCTCATTTTTCGTATCGATAATTAAGAAAAGTTACGTATTTTAAATACGAATAATCATTTGTCAAATTTTATTATTTGAAAAAAAAAATGCATTTTCAGTTTTAATTCTTTAGTTGAAGAAATATAAAACGAGAACAATCAATTGATTAATACTGATGTCTAAGATAACAAAATAGTAAAAAAATATATTTTTCAGAATAAAATATCAATCCAAAATAGCTTAATAATCATAATAATTGACAAATGATTGAATTGAAATTAATCTTATAAAAAAAGAAAAAAAAGAGATCTACTCACTTTTCAAATCGGCGATCGATAAGACAGTTGAATTATCGTAAAAGAATCGTGACACATTTCCGGTTTGTTGCAACGTATCAATCGTACGTTTCCACGATGTATCATGATGATTGTCGTTTCTGTAATAATCCTAAGTTAGTTTGAAGATAGTTGAAGAATCCTGGTTCAAGTTTTCGATGTATATTCCGATGAAAACACGTGATTCTCGCGAGTGACTTCTCTTTTTTTCTCTTTATTTGTTTCTTTATATCTCACCGAATTTATCTTAGGTAATCTTTGATAAGTGATTTTTCCCTTTCGATTTATCTTGATTTTTTTTTTTTTCGATCAGTCGCC